GGGTTATCGGAGGGGGTCCTGGATGACGCGGTGGGGGGCAGGGTCCCTTTCGATTGTCCACGGGGATATCCATTATTTTGAAGCCTGCGTGGACGGAGGGTGTCACATCGCACTCCCACTCTTTGTGGACAGTGTGCTCCAGCCCATCGTCATTCGGCGAGAGTACTCGTCGCACTTTCTTCGAAAGGTCGTTGTGGCATCACTCCCAGCCACCGTCCACGCGCTCAATAAATCAGGAGCATGGGCCACTCATCCCCAAACGCATTTTGAGCGCGTGCATGGATTGCGAGCACTGCAGTGGACTGCTTTCTCGCCGCGCTCTTGTCTGCCTTTCGTGCGCTGTTGTGTTGTCGCTTGCTCCCGCCACGCAACTTGGTTAACGGGCACTGTCGTCGCCGACCACGTACCCATCTGCAACGCACGTCGTCTACCATCTCTGTCGTCCGCCAATCGTCTTGTCGTCATTCGTCGCCGTCGCCCTGTCGTCACTTATCGTCGCTCGTCGTCGTCACCTTTGCCGCCGTTCGTCGTGCCGCCATTCGCCGTCATCACCCTTGCAGTCATTCGTCGTCGCCCTGTCCGTCATTCGCCACCCTGTAATCCATCCGTGTAATCATAGCCGTCTGTTCCATTCTCTGTCTTCCATTCTCGCCGCCCTGCAATCATCCAGCCGTCACACGGTGTACTCGCCCGCAAGCTCTACGGGCCACCGACCGCGATCGAAGGCGCTTTTGTCGGATCCGCCATGTCTTCCCACGGAGGTGGACGGGGGAATGCTGCCTTGAAGCGGATCGTGGAAGGAGCGGCCTCCGCAAAGAAGGGACAGCATCAAGCGAAGAGGCAGAGGAAGGTCGTCCAAGCCGTGCCTGCTGGTAGTGCGCGAGACGTTGTGGAGGAGGCTGTGGTGGAGGAAGAGATGACGAACGACGACGACGACTTTGAAGACGACGACGATGAACCACTGCAGAGGAAGGCGAGGGTTAGTTCCGCGGGGGGGGGTTAGAATAAACGAGGGGGGGGAAGGGACACCGACCGCATGGCGCGGCGGTGGCGTTGCCGCGGCCAACCAACCAGTCTTTGTCGACGTGGCACGCGACGTGGCAAGGAGGGACGTCGGTGGCCGCGCGAAGGAAGGGGGCGCCTCGCATGAGACTGCGCAATGCGTGCTTGCGCCAGTGAATTGCCCCCGAACCCCGGCTGCAGACGTGGCGGGGAGTTCCCAAGCAGCGGTTGAAGGTGGGACGTTGCGATTTCCCGCGATGGCGGCGCGAGGCGGCGCTGTGGAGGTCCCGGGAGAGGCGGTTGAAGTCTCGAAGGGAGGAGATGGCGCGGCAGCCGGGGAAGACGATGAGGCTCTAGTGCACAGGCTACACGGGCAACGAGCGGCGACACATGCGATGGATGTCGCCACCAAACTTTGGGAGGATGACAACAGATTCTGGAACGACACGCAGGGGAACGCCATAGTGAGGATAATCCAAGAAGCGCGCGCGTATCTCGTGGCCGTGGCGCGGGGAGTGCAGCCTCCGGCTATTCAACGGAGCATCTCCCTTCCACACAACTCCATCCCCCAACACAAAATCGAGGACGAGTCAGAGCTGAACGCAGCGAAAGAGAGGGCGTTGAAAGTGCAGACAATCTCCCTCAAGGCGATCCACGGTTGGGTCTTCAAGTCGGAGAGCAGGCAAAGGGGGTATCACTTGGCATACCAATACACGTTGAATCACGCTGCCACGGACATTGCTAGAGCAATGTGGTCAGCAAAGGACTGGCGCAGTTTGGTGAGCCCAATGTTGTTCCGCACCACATTGCACGTAGACATAAAGTTGCATTTGTGGTTCGTGGGCGTGAACATAGTGGACAGGCATGAGGACAATGAGTGCGCGGCTTACCAGGGAGCTTGTGTCCAGCGTCTGGTGCGGGATTTTACAAGCGCAGTTGGCACGACAGAAGCTATGGACGGTGGTCGAGTGTCGTACGAGCGTCTGAAGGGGATGGCAGAGGCGATGAGGTATTTGCTCGCCGCCACGATGTGGATTATGCGAATGGCGGGGGACGATCCGAGATCGAATTACGACGCTTGGGTTTTCGTTCAACATACGGCGAAGACGACGCTGCTGGCGTCCATGAACCGTTAGTTCGACGCCCGCCGACACATCAAGCAATCCGCGCAGGTCATGACGGACAAGTTGGGGAGACTGCCTCCGACCTTCGCCCCCCCACCTGTGTACATCCCCGATTGGGCGTCTAAGTGCGGGGTCACTTTCTCGCACGACGCCACGTTGGCCTCCCCGATGGAGGC